CCCGCCACAGTTTGTCTATTCCCCTGCTGGGCTTAGCCTCCTTCCCCCACATAAGCCAGGCACGTGAGGGTCCCCCCCGCCCCTTCCGTTCCTGAGGGCTGCCTCCCATCACCAGGACCCCCCCCCTTCCCCACCGTGACGCCCCAGCCAGAGAGATCACGGCTTACAGAGCAGCTCTGGGGTCTCACGGCCCTCGACCCTGTGACTCGGAAAGACTCGGGGGAGGGAGGAGAATCAGTGAACACAAGCCCCAAAAGACGCTGTGGCCAAGAGCTGCTGGGATGCAGCATCCTGAGGGCTGCCTCCCATCACCAGGACCCCCCCCCTTCCCCACCGTGACGCCCCAGCCAGAGAGATCACGGCTTACAGAGCAGCTCTGGGGTCTCACGGCCCTCGACCCTGTGACTCGGAAAGACTCGGGGGAGGGAGGAGAATCAGTGAACACAAGCCCCAAAAGACGCTGTGGCCAAGAGCTGCTGGGATGCAGCAAGGGGGGCGGCACGTAGGCGCAGGGAGGAGGTTTTACGTCTGCGTTTGGCCCTGGTGCGAGCGCTGCCGGGACCCTGTCTCCAGTTCCGGCGCCCACAATTCGAGGAGGAGGTTGAGAAACTGAAGAGCCAGAGAAGAGCCACAGGAACGCTCAAAGGGTTAGAAAGCCTGCCTTGTCAGGACAGTCTCCAGGAGCTCCACGTACAGAACAGAAATAAAGGCGACGGGGGGACTTGGTCAGTGTCTTGGCACCGACACGGGGAATTCAGCCGAGCACGGACAGGGCAAACACAACCCCGCGGCTGGACGCCGAACAGCCACACCTGAGTTCCAGTCCGAATGTGTCTGTTTTAAAGAGGGAAAGGAACTCGCCAGGGAGCAACCCACCAAGGGCTGGGGTGGATTCTCCAGCTCCCACCGTGTCTGGGTGCCTCTCTGAAAGATCCGCGCTGGGAACGGCCTGGGGCCAGGCCAGGGATCACAACGGTCCTGGCAGGCCTGGGAATCTAGGAACAAGCCGCAGAGCGGGAGAGGTCATGGAAGATCGCTCTTCCCCGGGCGCGGCCGCAGCACACTGCCAGGAAGGGCGTGAGCCAGGCACGCTGCCCACAGGGTCCTGTGTTCTGCTGAGCCAGGGGAAAGGGCTTGCTCAGAGGAAATCCGGCCGAGCAGCTGGTACAACTCCAACCCAGAGCCAGCCAGCCAGCCAGCCGCAGGGACCCACTGGGGCATCTGGCTCATTGCCAAGTGTCTTGCCAGCAGCCAGACCGAGCTAGGGGCTCTCCCACATTTTCAGCTCATTTTCCCTTAAACTTTGCTGGGATCCAGCACTCGGAGACCTCAGACTCCTTCATGCGTTGTCACCAACCCTCACGCCACCAGCTGGAAACAGCCATTGCCCCATTTGGCAGGTAGAATGGGGAGGGGCAAGGACGTGACCAAGGAACCACAGTCAATCAGTGGCGGAGAGAACGGACGCCCGGGAACACTGTTTTGACCTGTGTCCCAGCAGCACCCCACTCACCCGAGCGAAGGAAGGGAAGAAGAGCTCGTGAAGAGGCAACCACTTTTCCACACTCGATCTCCCCTCCCAGCTGGTCCAACGACACCCCCCCCCCAACCAGCCC